ATAGCCGAGGTATATGGGAAAAAACGCGACCCGATATTTCATATTTTGCGGTCGGTCGCTGAGGGCAACAAAACAATTTTCTTTGGCCTAATTACACGTACGTATCTGGACTGAGTCACTGTCCATTTGTTTTTTGAGCATTACATTTTATAAACAACTTACATACAATGACAATTTAGCAGCGATTCCCATAAACAAAAATAATAATAAAAAATCATTATTTAAAACCTACTAAATATATAATATCAATTTTATAATAATTTTTGACATGAACAAGTACAGGTATAGAAGAACATGATAAGATGCGGTTGTTCATCGCAAAACGTTTCTAAGAGAATGCGTCACACCAAATTTTGATTTGATTTGGTATATGGCACTTACTGCTTTAAATGGTACTGTTACATGTGCATTTTAATTTGCGGCTTTTCTCCCACAGACTGCGCATGTAAATATCGTCATTGCCATTTTAGTCAACAAATCCAAGCGTTGGTGGCGTGAGACCCAATGTGTACGTGCTCGTCTATCACGTGGCATAATACCTTTGTAAATTCTACTGACGGCTATTACCTAAAACGTCGGGTTATGCTGAAAAATATGACTACTATTATCACCTACCACATTCAATACATCACATTACACAGAGGGAGAGTTGCATGACACGATTGGTTGAAATAATCGTCTAATTTGCATAAATTAATATTCATGAGTAATGAAAAACTCGTCTTTTCAGTAAAATTGTGCCAAAATGCTTTCCGATAGCATACATGTTAGTTCTAAATTGACTGATTATATCGTTACGAGCTGGAAAAATTATCGGAAAAATGATGTAAAGGTATTTTTTGAGACACGTTTTCTATCGGACTCCAGCTAACTGTTGAAAGTACGCACAGATTTTCTCTTTACCCTGATCATAGCAAGTTGCGATATTCATAGAGAATGCAGAGGCACGTTTAAATTTCACTCTAGTACTATTGCTCAAAATTGCTCAAATGTTTTCGGTGACTTTTATCAGTGACAAGTTACTTAATTAGTATGCAT